TGTTTTAATTTCCGAATGTAGGACCTTTGGTCATTATTCTTTAGTCATTATTCAAGTAATGTCTATCATTGCTGGGCATTATTCCTTCCACGAAGACATTATTAAGTCCTATTTAGGGAATAAAAAAGTTTAAGTCCTAGATTAGGAAAGTCATTATGTTTTAGTCCTATTTAGTGCAAATTTCACAATTAACTTTCTTGTTTAATTTTGTAGTCAAACTTTTTAAACTTTGATCACATATTACAAAAAAGTGCATTAATTTTCATATAAATTTGTTATCAATAGATTCATTTCGAAATATAGTTTTAAAATATTTATCTTTATAATATATTTATGTAAAAATAAAGATAGCAATGATCAAAGTATTAAATTAGAAATCGTGAAAAATCAAATGAAAATTAATTTTAGCACGGAGGCAGTAATGTAATACAGGAAGTTCATGGTCAAGACCACGTGATGGATTTGTGAAGGTTAATATTGATGCATCCACAGGCTTGGTTGATGATATGATGGGAGCGGGTTTCATCGCTCGCAATGACCTTGAAGTATTTTTGGCAGCTAAGAATATATCTTTCAAGGGCAGCTACGGTCCAGGGAGGCGGTGGCGGTGGCAGTTAAGGAGGCCCTTAGCTGGATCAAATGAAAAGGTTGGATGCAGGTAGAGATCGAAACCGATTGTAAGGAGGTTGTGGATGCACTCAATAACTCTTCTGGTGATTGGTCTTATTTCTCTTTGATTATTACTGATTGTAAATTCTTATTGACTTCGTGTGATGGAATATTTCATTTTCACTTTGTTTATCGCTCTGCTAATGGAACATTTCTTTCCCTAACTTCATCTTATCATTAATATAATTTTGTTCCCTTCTGCTTAAAAAAATACGAAAAAAGTATTGAGAAGTGGGTTGGGGCCTCAGGGTTTCAAAACTGCGACAAGCCCAAAAAGATGCAAGTGGAAAGCCATTACACTAGCGCGCAGGACCAGTTTTTAAATTTGATACCGAGTATTTGTTTTTATAATATACTCTCTCCTTTTGGTAAAAGAATTCCTATTTTGACTTTTGTCAGATTTATTTTTGTAATTACACTTTCAAATCGAAGAAAAAAGAGAGAAAACTTATTTAAATAATTTAATACTCCGTATATCAAAGCAAAATGAATGAAGTATATTGTAAGAACTTAATTAATTTATATATTTCTCATTTTTTTATCATAGTGGAAGTGTTTTGTTGCAAACGAAAAATTAAAAGAATTGTTTGGAAAACGGATGGAGTATTAAAATTATTAGAATGTATTGGGATTTTGTGTTATCGTGCTCAGTATTGCGTTCGTAATTAGGTCATGGTCTTGTACGCTACTATAAATAGCTGGTTAATGTTTAATGAAATTCAGTCATTCAGTCCCAATAAATTTTCAATGGTATCAGAGCCAATGCTTAGGCACATAAACGCTAGCTTGCTCTATGGTGTCTTCCATTGCGCCGCCATCGCCGCTTTGTTGGTCCAACGACGGCGGCATCACTTCTATTTGTTACTTTAGCCTGCGTTTGAATTTTTTTCTTTGTCCTCGCCTTTTGGTTCCCTTCCATTTGTCGTCGCCACAACCACAAATCGCACCACAGCCGCCCACAAACAGGTGTACTGTCCGCCTAGTATTCTGTCTGAAGTCACAATATCTGCTAGAGTTTGCAGCATGATCCACTACCTAGACAAATCACTCACAGTACCAAATTGGTGTTTGTCCAATCACAAAATTGGTTGGTTATTGGTTTTGCTTTGATTTGTTCTCACTCCGGAAGAAGGTTTTCATGTTCAGTCTGCCACTCATCCAAATTTAATGACGTTTCTTGATGACATCATTTTTTGAATGCTTTTTGTTATGTTGTCGCAACCGGCCATGGGTACGGCATATCAGTTATGGGGTCGGTCGTCGAACTTCAGTCCGTCAGCATTCTGTCTGTCTGTTGATCGCCCTACGTGGGAGTCATTCGTCATCAATTTTCTGTTGTTCATATGATTGGCCTGGCATCTTCGTCTCTTGCAGCGACAAATCAAGTATAACTTATTTTTCAATATTTGATTTATTTTTATTATCGAAGTTGTTCATTCGCGATCTTCGTTCTAAACTTGAAGGAAAGTAGTAGAATTTATTAGGGTTTTGTGTTATCAGGCTCAGTATTGGGCCCGTAGTTAGCTCATGATCTTGTAGCTAATGAAATCAAGTCATTCAATTATAATACTTAACTATACCTATAAAATTATATTTAACTATAATACTTAACTATAAAATTATATCTACAAAAATCATACTCCGTAATACTTAACTATACCTATAAAATTATATTTAACTATATCTATAAAATTATATTCAGGTCTGGGGTCCCAGGACCCTGTAGGATCCTTAGTGTGTCTCCCCTTAGAAACGAAAATTAATTTATGTTTTGGTTGTTAGGGTCCCAACGATTCTATCTCTTTCTTATTTTTCCTCTTTCTGTTTGCATCTTTGAATATAAGTATTGTATTGAATACTTTTCTAAGATTCATGAGTGATAATGAAAATTTTCTCTTTACTCCATTGATGAATTTCTTCGCGATTGCTTCAAGAATCTGTACTGAACAAATTCAGCTTTCATTTAGTAACATGGTATATGAGCCATGCTCAATTTTTGCTTCATCGAGATATTTTCGATTCATCCATCGCTCCGTCATCTTGAATCTATTCACTTAGATTTCGTCCGCTTTAAAAACCATTTAAATGGGAGATAAAGTAGGTGTTTGACTAAGAGCATATGCAATGGCAAGGCAACTGCCCTGCCATTAGTGGAGTGGAAGATAATACAATGAGAGTGGCAATAATTGACTTGCATGGAATGTGGCGAGGCACCACTATTTGCGTGGCTTGTGCGAGGAGAAGTGAACGGAACAATGCATGCTACTGAATCCTTATTCTCCTTATTCTTTTTTCTTTCTTCTTTTTTTCGTTTTTTTGCATGCCACCCTCTATAGCTAATCCTTCTTTTTTTTTCGTTGCATGTGTTTTGCCTAACTTCTTTTTCTTCTTTCCAAATCTAACTTTTTTTTAAAAAACAATCTAACCCTTTTTAAACAAAAATACCAATTTATTTTTTTTAATTATCTATGTTGTTTTTTTCATTTCAGTCTATTTTCTTTTATAAAAAAATTTAAGATGTTTTCTAAAACTAAAAATACATACTTGGTCCGTCCCTGAGTGTTTGTCCACTTTTGACTTTTGGAACTGTTCATCTAAGCACTTTGACTCATCAAATTCTCTCAATGTGTAAGCCTAAATATAGTCATGTGTGATCTTGTTTGATTCGTCTTAACATATAGATTATTAATATATAATTTTTTTAATTTTTTTAATATACAAATTACAAGATAAAATGGATTAAAGAAGTGCATTGGATGGTGTGCAAAAATGAAAATTGAACAAACACTCAGGGACGGAGGGAGTATTTTTAAAACTAGTGTTTTAATCCTAGATTATACAATTTAAGTAGATAATTAAACTAATTTTTAAAAAATAATGTTTTCTCTTTACAATTAAAATCTTTACACGAAAATAAAAAATTTATTAAAAAAATGAAAAATAAAACACATGAACTAATTATATTATGTCAAAAATGTTAAAATTGACAAATAAACAATACTTGCCATTGTAGGGCATGCTACTCTAATGGAATGCCACTGTGTGACTATGCATTATTTGATTGGTTATATTGAGCCACGTCACCGTGTGGCATTCCAAGACACGACTTGCCATTGCATATGCTCTAAGTAAAGTCCAACCAAATTAATACTTCTTCTGTCTCATAATATTGTTTCGCTTTACTAGTCATAGAATCAAATTATTTTCATTTTGTTTATCTATTTTTATTTAGAATTTGTTAAAATAAAATAATATTATGACTACTTGCTTCGCTCCCAATAAAAGTTTTGAACTAGTTTTATGTTTTAATTCTACACCAATCTTTATATAAACTAGATTGAAAAAACTTCGATCAAATATCGTTATCCAAAACTAGAATATTAGTATGGCATGATAAAAGTAATTACTCACTCCGTCCCATATTAAATTTTCTATTTTGATTTACGATGTTTAACTAAAATTATTTTTAATGTAATTTATTAGAGAATTGGGACATAAATAAAAAATAAAATTTACAAATTAGAGTAAAAACTGCATCATAGACTTTATGAAACAAGATGTGACATGACTATGTTATTTTATCAAATGAGTAACGAAAATAAAAAAAGAAAGTGAATGGAATTTGAAAGTAAGGGAGTAAAATGAAATACTCCTAAAAGATTTGATCAAAGCCTCAAAGGTACACTTGCATTATCCAAGATGTCATTGTAGCGAGACTCTTCTCCTTCTATGAACACGGAGTATATAATACGGAATACTCAGAGGGTGTTTGGGAGTGATTAGCTTATGGATAAAGTGATTTCTACAAAAGCTGAAAGCAAAAGCACCTCATACCTGCTTCTCCGAAACGGTGTTCTATGTACAAAATAATGTTGGTGAAAAGCAGAAGCTGACATGCCAAATAGAGTAAAATCACTTTCACTCAAAGCAGACACTGAATTGTTAAAAGCAGTGCACTGCCAAACACCCTCTCAGTAATTAAGTACAATGGGATAGCATACTGCAGTCTGCAGCTCACACTGAGTTTTACTAGCTCAATCATCAACATTGTCCTAATCCCCACTTTTCAATCTTTTTTAACAAAAAAAGAAAAAAAGAAAACAAGTATTGCCGCTAGGCTTTCCAGATAAGCTGCAAGATATGAGAGTTGACATGCCAACAATATTTCAAGTTCATATTTAAGGGCACTGGAACTGGACAAGATAGTAACAATTTCAATTTTCAGAAGATGAGAGCATATATTTGCCATTAGGAGAAAAGTTTTGTTCTTGGTTTTTCATATTTGGTTTTGAGTAAGGGCTCATTTGGCCTTGCCAATCAATATTTTATAGGACTGTCATTCCATTGATCTATTGACAATCATCACATATACGATAGTTGCATTTATTTTTACAAAAAAAAAAAATATAAAATTATAGATCTATATATATAATCGTTATGCCTTGTTTTTAGGTGGAGGACGTGAATCAAGTCCCAAAAGACGTCACAAGCCAGGTCTTATCTTTTGGGCTAAAATCCACGTATGGTCCTTCAACTTTTTGAGATGTGCACCATTAGTCCTTCAAGTTTTTTATATCCATAAATAATCCTTCAACTAATACTCTGGCTGCACACGCGATATCCTATCGACAGTACACGTTAAACCAAACGGTGGATAAGAAAAGGACCAAAAAGGGCTTTGTTTTATTTCTTATTTCATCTTCAAATTAATTTACAGGTGCTCCACTTCAAATTTCAAGTAACGAAACACTTCTCCTACTGCTCTGTGTCGTCAGCCTCATCCTCAATTTCCTCTTTATTTCTCCAATCAATCTACCTTCTTGAATTGGTTCTTGGATGTAATTAACAAAGTCAGCTCTGTTTTAATGGCGGCAGAATGGTAAGAGTTTAGTAGAATAATTAAAACTAGGGTTTTTATGTTCCTCCATCTTTACGCATCTCTATTTTAATGTTCCTCTCTCTGTTTTCATTTTGTTCATGTAATTGGTTTTAATTTCTAGTAGTTTAAAATTAAGAATTGCACCACTTATTGAAATTGGGTATGCGATGAAATTAGGATTTTTTTTTTTGAAAATTTACTAAACTCCACACCCATTACACCCATAGTCCCACACTTTTTTTTTACATTCAAAAAAACAGTTGTATATAGAGTAAAGCAAAAAAAGAAGGGGGTATCGTGTCTGCAGCAAGAAAAGCAAGAAAAGAAGGGTAAAGTAATAAAAGAAGGGTTCAGTTCGTGCGTGGGACACAAGCTCTGTTTATTACTAACGGAAGGACTGTATCTGCAGCTAGATTATTAGTTGAAGGACTATTTATGGATATAAAAAACTTAAGGACCAACGGTGCACATCTCAAAAAGTTGAATGACCATACGTGGATTTTAGCCTATCTTTTGAGATAACTGACTCTGATGTGCAATGTTTTCCTTCAAGAAGATTGATAAGTGGGGATTTGGAACATAGCCCAAACCTATGTTCACCCAATGGTATGGCCTATTTCACCCAAAGAGGCATGGTATATTGGTATGTATATATCTTGCCCCAAAACCAATGCTTGACTGGGATATAGTGGATACGATTGGTGTGGTTTGGTTTGTTACACGGAGAAAGAAGAATGATCGATTTGTTTGTCATTGTAATAATGAATCAAACAACAAGTTGGATTAGAGACAGAAATCAAGCACCAAAATCCTTATTAATAAAGTAAAATGGCACAATTCAGCTCAGATTGATCACCTAAAACAAAACATACCATTTAACAATTTCTAAACCATAGCTAGGATAAACAAGGAAAAAAGGAAGAATGGCAAACCTCATTTTTCCTACTGTACATTGTACACAGCTGCAAAGAACCATCAAAATTGAATCCACTCTCTAGCCCCATAAGAATGAGAAAAAACCGCGTTTCTTCGGCAGTTCTTCTTCTTCTTCTTCCATCACAGCTTTCATACTATCCTGCTCAACCAACCTCCAAGCAGCTTGCTCAAATGCCAGCCCAGCCAGTGCTGGTGGCTTGTTCAACACCAGCGGATACCCTCTATTCGTACTTCTGATCACCTCCGAATCTTCCGGAATTGCCCCTAACAATGGCAGACCAAGCATTTCCTGCACATCCAGCACAGACATCATGTCTTCCCCCTTGATCATATCTGTCCGGACTCGGTTCACAACCATCTTAATATCCCTTATTCCATCACACTCAAGCAACCCTGTCACCCTGTCCGCGTCACGAAGGCTGGTGATGTCAGGTGTCGTCACCAGGACTGCCTCATTCGCAGGCGTGATTGCCGTGATGAATCCCGCATCAATTCCCGCCGGGCAATCAATGAGGATGAAATCCGGCACTCCTGTGTCTCGGGCCTTCAGGGCGTCTACGACCCAAACCAGTGCTTTCCCGCCGAAACCGATCGGCAATTTGGATCTAGGTTTGGAGATGCAGAGCAGCTCGAAGTTGGACCACCGCTTGTCGCGTACCAGAGCCTGGTCGAGGCGGCAGTCGCCGTTGAGGACCTCGACGACGGTGTAATTGACGCGGTTCTCGAGGCCGAGCAGGAGGTCGAGGTTGCGGAGGCCGACATCGGCGTCGATGGCGACGATGGAGAAGCCGAGGCGGGCGAGGGAGAGACCGATGTTGGCGGTGGTGGTGGTCTTGCCGACGCCTCCTTTGCCGGAGGTGATGACGACGACTCTAGGGGTTTCGCCGGCGAGCTGAGGCTTGCGGTTGTACTGCAGGGTCGCTCGGGTTGTGGCGGCGCGTGGGGCTGAAGGTCTTAGGGTTTTGGAAGCGAAGGGAGCAGAAGGGTTGGAGTAGGGCTTGAGGGATGCGAAGGGAAAGTGTTGCTGAGATATTATCATTTCTTGGATGTAATTGAACTGAGAGTTAGGGAAACAGGGGAATTGAAGTGATTCAGGGGAAGCAATGGAAGCATAGCAATGGCCGCCGAGCAAGAAGGGAACTACGAACAAAATGACAACTAGTAAATCACTGTAAATGCAATGTAATCACAAATGAGAGAGTAACATGTTAACAAATTGTTTTTGTTGGTGTTTACAACATATTCCCTTCTTTAGCATACATTATTTTTATTTATCTTTTCACAATGTCTAATATAAATCTCTAATATATGGTAATACTTTAATTATTAATATTTTTATTTATATATAAACATATATTGTAAATGTACGACATTTTAAAACTAAATTACAAAATGAATCTATCAATATTAAAATTGTGTTATCATTTGATAGTTCATTTTTTTTTATATTTTATGTGCAAGTTTAAAAAAATTGACCACAAAGATCATAATAAGAATAAAAATATACGAGTAGTATGGAGGGGGTATATCTTTTTACTTATTTTAATCATTAAAATTATTTTAGTTATCTATTATTCATTAAAATACACCTTTAAAAAAGTTCTTCCACAAAAAAAAAAATACTAAAACACAAAATATGTGATAGAATGTCGCATAGATGCCTCACAACTGGCTCGCTACTTCTCACTCGAAGTCGCCTCACGCCTCGCTCTTTCTTTGTCACTACAGTCTCTTTTTCTCGAGTAGTGGCAACACAAGGTGTGTAATGAAATGTCTTGCCCCTGACTTGCGGTGCGGTAACACGCCCACACAAAACGCGCACAACAAAGAAAGAAAGAAAAGGAGTTATTTTTTTCGTTTTGTGGCAAAATGAGACTAAGATGGCAAACATGAGAGGAAGTGTTGTTATCCTATGATGGCAGTAGAGCACAAGCAATGCATCAGTTTATTTGAACGTGGTAGGGCGGGCGGGGCGTTTGTTTGGCTCTACCAAATGACTCCCCTTGCACTTCTCACTTGGTTGCGGCGTGCCACGCCAGAGCTCCAACTACAGGTTCGAGGGGTGCACATAGTTACATTCGTCTAGACCCTTTCTACAACTTTAATGTTTCGACCAAGTCTAAATTCTGTAATTTAGATATAGAAAGATTAGTCAAAAGTTTGCTTTTTAAAAAATGTAGTTAAAGGGTAGAGAAAAAAGAGTGTAAAAGATATTTTTTCCACAAACTTTATGCTAATTCTTCTATATCAGATGAAAGTTGTGCAGGAGATTGAAATGAGTCCATTCACACAACATCGGAAAGTAACGTGTCACCGAGGAGATACATATCTGAATGTGTGAGTGTGTGTGGAGAGGCAAAGAACATCATTATCTTAGACTGATGCAATATGAAAAGTGATGGGTAATCTTTAAACAACATAGGGGTCTAAGATCCCCAATTTACAACAGAGTCAGAAAATGAATACAAAAGTACAAGTGTACAGCCAATCACAATGAAACTTCATCCATCTACATGGGGGATCCAACTTATAATCACATTCCCATTCAAGAGTTTGAGATACTTCCAATTGGCAAATCAAGTCGGCGTGAGGTGTGTGAAGAAAGAGCTTACAATAACAACAATGGCACATCATTATAGAACACCGACTACATGGAAAAGTAGGCAGTCAATATACATTGATCAAACAACGCAACAACAGAACAAGTCACCTCAAAGTCTGGTGATAGAGGCCAGGCATTCCCTTCCCTTATGCTGCTTCATACCGTGAGGAGTTTTGCCTCCGGAATGCTTCATGTTGCTGCTGTTGTGTCACCTCTAAATTCTCACACTCTACGCCCGAATTACTTGATGGTTTGGCACCTATAGAAACAATATTTTTAAACCATGTTGATTGGAATCTAGGACTTTCTCTGCTGGAACTTCCGGGGGACTCGGGGGAATTACTACTGGAAGCAACTCCTGCAAGGAACCGATAAGCAACTTTGCTTGCTGAAACAATCTCGGTTTTAGCTTGACGCAGCTACAAGGGAAGAAAAACTTTGGGTAATCAGTAAATGATGCACCAGAAACCCAGGATACCGATAACAAGTGATTGCAGACAAAGGGAGTTCCCCATAATTAACCACCCGTCCACCCCCACCATTAAAAAGTTCATCATAGTTTCACGCAAGTTCATTAAGAAAAGTGGAAAATGTCTGTTTAGTGAGAATTATTTGGCCAAAATGGCTGAATCTGCTATGTTTTATGAAATGACAAGCCTTTGGCCCAAAGGAGTAAGTCAAAGTAGTCTAAAGCAACTTATAAGCAGAGGAAGCCATCCCTAGCTACCAACTGAAGTCATAATTTATGCATATGGCAGTTAATGGAATAAGATTTAAGGTAGAGATGAAGTAGTTGATGCGGTGTTGACAGAATATAAAAAATAAAATGTATAAATAGATAGTGTATACGAAAGAAGAATAAAGGTACATGTGAAGCATATTTTGAGATGTTCATTAAGAGGTAAGGTGGAAGTTTCTTAAAGGACAGGAGTATGATCCTTTCGAAAGTCTGACCGCGCACATGGTATAACATCATTAAACAAGCAGCAATTGACTGGTTGAGAAGTTCATACAACATCACCGACTAACAGACCAAAAATAATACTGCTCTATATTAATAATTAAAACAATAACTGACCCGAAGGGCTGTGTTTTCTGCCATCTCCATAGCAGCGTCACCCGCATTAGCAAATCTATTTACCCAACCTGTAATAATAAATATAAGAGCATGGTATACATCAAATATAGACAACAATGAAACATCATGGCCATGATGAATCTATACTAGAACTTGTCAAAATGCAAATCAAAAGTAATAAATAGTGTAAACCAATGGCATAAATTTTCTTCCATAATATTTAGTTCGATAGATATAGAAGGTGCAAGGCAAGGGTGAGATACATTTCGAATCCAAAGTTCATACTTGTTACTCTTGAGGCATAAGTGACTTTCCACCACATAGCCTCCATTCCACAGCGAACTCAAACTAAGTATTGAATAGATAAAAGGTCCCCATTCACATTTCTTCCTACTTGCAGGAGTATTTCATACAGCATTACATACATGGGTCATACAACATACAATATATAATGAAAGCCTTACTCCATCATAATTAAGCTTAGCCAAGCAAATGATAGTTTGACAGTATACATCTCAAATCTGTTTTATAAAAGATCCATATCATATTGTACTCCAACAATCAGCTTTAAGTAACTCTGGTGCATGTTAATTCACCACTACACATTCTTAAAAAAAAATTACAGTTCCTCACCCTATTTTATACTGGGTCTCTCTATTTTTCATTCCTACACACCTAACCACCAATCGACACATCCCTTGCTCATTCATTTACCAGTTTACCATCAAATTGACAGATTGAGGGCAAATCTCCCCTTCACTTTCTAACACTCTAACACTTGCTGTCATAAAAAAGAGGCACTGTAATGTCAAATTCAGACTTACACAATTACACCTTTATAAATGGATGTTAATATAAATGAGTCTCTTTGCATACTCCTCAACTTTATCACCTAACTCTGCCTTACAAATACATAATCAAGGAGCTTGTGGTGGAGATGGGGGTGTGGAAAAGAATATTACCAGGAAGCTTGGGGGCACCAAGTCTTTCACAGAACTCATCACAGAAGTGATTGCAGTTTTTCGACAGTAAATCATACAAGAAGCCAGGCCATTCTCTACTAAGTTCCCGCAGTATCTGGTTCACTTTGAAAATTGAACAGTTTGTTTTTCCAAGAACAATGCTTTCACGATAGGAATACATTGGATTCTTTCCAGCAGGGCAGCTAAATACTCCGGTACCTTGTTCGCAGAACCCAAAAGACCATTCCTCATCTCCATAAACCTATTCACAAAGTGTAAAGATGCAGAGTGATTATAGCACTGAAAGTAGAGATATACTTGAGGGATATTTAGGCTCGATGGCTAGATCTAATTGGAATTTATGCTACCAATTCCACAATTCTGAACTACATTACAATGTAACATTAGATCTAGTTCCACAATTTAAAGTACAATTAGACTGAAACACTGGATCTAAATCCATAATTTGAACTACCAATTCTGCATTTCAAATTACACATACAATGGATACCTAGATCTAATCCTGCATTTTAAACTACAAATCCAGAAAGTTACATAACAACGCAGATAAGAATGGGATGAAAGTAGAAGGTACATGCGTACCTGGACAGCGCTATGGAAGATGCCGCCAAGACCAATACCATCTTTGAAAAACCTATTGATCTGAAGAACGGTGTTGTTGGTCTTGTCGGAGGCACTGTTCGTCACATCATAGATGTGGAGAATCACCTCCGTCATATTCCTCTCTTGTCCGATGTATTTTCTCTCTGAAATCCCTAAGACACACTCCCTATCTCTCTGGAAAAGACGAAATCTTCACAGCCGAATCGAGGTTAGGGAAATGAAAAGATTGCAAACCCTAGTGCACTATTGGGGATGGCTTCTTTGAAGTGCAATAGCAATGGCCAGTCATCGGGGTTTGTGGAGGACGGCGATGAGTTTTCTTCTCTTTGCTCCGGCTGAGTAGTAGCACTTCTAAACGAGCAGAATAGTTTTGGGATATGAATTTTGAGTAAAATTTGATGACTGATTTGTTTAAATTGTTATATATATAACTGTGAATTTTTTATATTTAGTTCTTGTTTATCAATTACTACCTCCGTCCTGCTATATTCGTCCACTTTTGACTTTTGAAATTGTTCATCTAAGCACTTTGACTCATCAAATTCTCTCAATGTGTAAGTCTAAATATAGTCATGTGTGATCTTGTTTGATTTGTCTTAATATATAGATTATTAATATATAATTTCTATAATTTTTTAATATACAAATTACAAGATAAAATGGATCAAAGAAGTGCATTGGACGGTGTGTAAAAATGAAAGTGGACAAATACTCTGGGACGGAGGGAGTATATTTTCAGCCCCTATTGATTGGATACTTTTCTACAATTGATCTTCTGTCAACAATTGCGTCTCTCTACCGTTGCTTGGAGGGTAATGGTACTCTCTCCATCCGGGAATAATGTTCCCAATTTGATTTTTGTTCATTTTTATCAAAAGTTGACTATGTGTGTAATTGGTCTAAAATGTCTTTCCTCTCCTTACCACTGCCCCTCCGTCCCCAACCGTCCCTTTCTCCGACTATGCGCGAACCCCCTCCACCATCTCCGCAGCAATCCCACCATCCTTGCCACAACCCAACCATGACACAGATCTAAAAGAAGAGAGAGGAGAAAGAAGTTGGAAAAAGAGAGGAATTAAAGAAGAAGAAGAAGAAGAAGAAGAAGAAGAAGAATGCAGATCTACACTTACGATTGACGCCAACCTCACCATCGTCGTCACCCCACCTCGCCGGCAACCCTAACATCAGCGCCAACCCCACCATCGGCACAAGTCCCACCATTGCCGCCACCCTAGCACAGATCTAAAACAAAAAACGAGGAAAAAGAAAAGAAGAAAAAGAAAAAGAAAAAGAGGAAGAATGCAGATCTAGAACGTCATCGTCATCGTCACCACCATAGCCACCACCCTCATCGCCGCCATGCCCAGATCTAGAAGAAAGATGGAGGAGAAATAAGGAGGACAGAAGAAAAAAGATGGAGGAGAGAAAGAGGAGAGGAGGAAGAAAAGGATGAAACTAAGCAAGATAAAAATAAGAAGAAGATTGAGGAGAAGAAGAAGAAAAAGGAGGAAGAGATGGAGGAGATCGAGAAACGGGCGAGAGAAGAAAGAAAAAATGAGGAGAATGTGATATTTGTGAAATAAGGGTGTTTTTGGAAGAGTAGAGAAGAAAAGGTAGAATGGGAAGATCATTCACGGACGGAAAAAGAGTAGAACGAGAATATCATTTCCGGACGGAGGGAATATTTCACATTTTGCTCTCTGAAATGCCAGTTTACGCCGAAATGCAATTGACACGATTTATTAAAATTCCTCCCTCGTCGTCCTTGTGTCTTCGCACGACAACACCTAGGGTTTAGAATGAAGCATATGTGAAGATGTAAGGTTTGAAGATATGGTAGCGATTTTGACGCTATTTCTGTTGGTTTATTCTTAGAATCTGTGGTTTATATATTCACCACTCCCTCATGTGTTTGGAAATCGATTCCCAAAAACAATCTACTATTTATCTCCTTTAAAGTCTGACCCTGATTTACATTTAGAGATGTCCTCTAATTTCTCTTCAAAGATCTCGTCTGATTTCCTTCATTTTAAAGATTAAAGACATCCAGTTGGCCAGCCAGAAGTTGTTCGTCTTCATCCTGATCTTTATTGTAAAAATTATTGTCTAGAGTTTTTTTAGGTAAATAGCATCCTAATCTTCATTGTGAAAATTACTGTCTAGAGTTTTTTAAGTCATTATCCTGATCTTCATTTACCGAGTATCTAGCATATTGGGTTTAACTAGGAAAAAATAAGTGGGCTTATATACCCCTGGATTTTTCATTTTGAAGTCTCAATTCTAGTTTGGATTTTAGGATTGAATTGAAAAATTTTAATTGGAATTCAAATTCACTGTTATGTTTTTTGTTTGATATTATGTTCTTTTGTAAGAACATATGAACTGAAGTTTATGCTTGGCAAATCTGTAAGTATCAGAGTTGCTCTTCCTAGGTATGTTGGCGATTTTGTGAAAGTTGTTCCTAAAGCGTTGTATGATGAACGGGGTATGATGCTGATAAAATCTCATATTGAGGGTTTTGGGTTTAAGAATTAGGAAGATATTAGTATATACTCTCTAAGTGATAATGGACTAAATGAGTTAGTCAGCGATAGTGATGCATGGGAGTTGATTGCAGTAGATAACTTACCTATTGTAATTGAAATTTGGGTGGTTACGATGAAGGTAATAGGGGATGAAAATGAGACGAAATGACGGTCGTTGAAACACCCGCCTTCTGTGGACCCGGTTCACCCGCGACCCAACGGACCGGTAGGGTAACATGGGCGGTCCGAGAACTGCCGTAGAGAAAAACGCATTAATGTCTATTTATTGTGGAAACGGTTGAGTTTAATTGGTGAATTAAATGCTAGGGAGTTAATCCCAAAACGTGCGTGATTTAAATGCAGAGTAAAAGCGGAAGTAAATAAATAAGTCCAAAATAGGTAAAACGACATATGATGGGTTCATGCCCAAATGATTAATTATTTCTAATGATTATAATTATTAAACTCGTCCGTGCGCCGCCCATCTTCCCATCATCACTGTCCTCCAGGCACCTGTACCGTCATGTCTACCTGCGTGTAGCAAAAACAACTACACGCTCAGCAAAAGCTGAGGAGTGAATCTAACAAAAGAACATGGAGTGATAACCCATATGATTATACACATATTAATACCTGTACTTAACGTACGGAAAACCACGTGTCTACTAGTTGATTAATTTACGCTTGTTGGGGTACTGTTACATATAACAAAATTATGTACTACCACATTGAATATGGATATGATGGGGAACATACATGATGATGACAACCACATTGAATGTTGACGTGACATGGAACATACATGATGACGATATGACTTGATGCATGACTTAAACTATCAGGGACACCCCTGGCTTAGTCTCACTTGACAGGATCACCCCTGCACTCCGGTAATGAGCCGGGCTCGACGATAATGTCACAAGTGAACTAGCAAAACCCGGGTAGTAGCCGTAACCTGACTACTATGTACGTACACAAAGCCCACCTGATGAAAACCCGTTGGATCCCAAAGGTTTCTGGACGGGCCCACTGTGTAGGCGCACGAAAGCCTGACCTCCCTATAGCAGTATGCACATGATGATAAACCTAGGACATGTGTCTAGGATGAACATGATGAATGCTTGATATAATTACCTTTGGTCAAAGCCAAGAATATATCAATAACGTTTCATGCAAACATTCGATCAGATTCTAGGTCAATATGGTCAACGGGGCTCGTTCTACAAACTGCTCGGAATTCTGCCCGCGGAACGGTCGACCGTACCCTACTGGCGGTCGGCCATGGGGCTACGGTCTGGTTCTGGGTTACTGATGGTCCACCTAGGTCTTCCGTCGCGACTGACGGTCGACCGTCCCGGTGGTGACCGTCGGACTGGCTGAGGGTACGGTCCACCGTCTGAAGTAACGGTCGACCGTCCCGGTGACAGTCTTCTGTCCTTGGCTACGTTTTGATCCATTTTGAAAACTTAACACCTTGATTCTTTTTAGAACAATAATGTAAACATTGATGAATACATTCCTAGTGATTTCTAGGCCAATTTATATAAGTTTTACGTAGTGAACGTGTTGATGGCTAACCTACGAACATGCATAGATTCTACGTAAGTTGCGTACGATATTCATATGAATATAACGGCATAGATTATAACTAAATGTTCTAGAATTAGAGGGGACAACTACTCACCTCTAAATGATGTGTTGAAACTACGATAGGACGAGATGAACGAATGGATGACGATGAACGAACAAATGAATGAACGGTTGAACGACGAACAACGTACGGCTTCTCGTGTGAACTTCTCCTCTTCCACCTTCCCGTCTACTCGCCGGAAAACCTCTTGGAGCTGCTATGGCCTGGCCGAGATTGTGCAAAGGGGAGAGGGAGAGGAGGTGTGTGATTTATGGCTTGGGGGTTACAAAAATGATGAATGGGAAAATGAATGGGAAGGGGAGTTTTAAAATACAAGAATTGATGGTGAGTAATGAGGGATTTGATGGAGAGTTAAGGGGATGCATGGGGTGGCGTGTGGATTGAAATGGGGAGTTACAAATATTTATTTACTCCGTTATGTTAAAATCTGACCTGAACGGTACGCAATTTTCCCCCCGAACAGGTCCGAATTGAGATCCGTTTGCGTTTTCGGAATCAGACAGTCAAAACGAATTTAATGACATGTTCAAATAATTTTTCTAAGAACTTTATTTTCAAACTTCCGGGTCCACCCCAATCACTAATTAATTTATTTAATTAATGTTGAGAGTTCCGTTATTAAAACATCTTTTTATATTTAAAAACACATTAACTTTGAAAAGCCATTTAAAGAGATCGAAATCCTAATATTTATCAATTTAAAATAATGAGTCTCGATAAATAAATAATATTTATTTATTTAAAATATTGGCTCAATATTAGGCCGGTTTGTAGGGCGTTACAGTCGTACGGTGGTGAGAAACGGTGTCACTCTTGACAATCGTATGTTGTCCCGCACAACAGGTCTCTACTGTTAAGATATGGAGCCCATTTAAACGTTGAATGGTGTAACCAATCTTGGTCAATTAAGTACCTATTCAAGTACATCAATAAAGGTCACGATTGAGTTACTGCCGAGTTTTATGCAAGCGCCCAAGGGAAATCTTTGTCAATGTTTGGGATAGAATCGCCTCCGATATCATTTGAATCAATATGGAGCATCAAGGCACTGGAGCATCCCCGAGTTTTCCCATGACATGGAGTTCCAATGTCATGGAAACCCCTCCGATCTTTTGATTTGCACCTAAATTGATACCGACTTATCTCGACCTTATATTTCGGAATTGAGATTGTTATAGAGTAACAAGTCTCTTTGTTAAAATCCAGTATTGAATTGGA